GTGGTCTATCCATCAAATTGATGTCTCTCCATTTAGAGGCAAGGAGGTCATGTGGGAACAGTGTTGAATGCTTTGCAGAAGTCCAGATAGATGACATCAACTGCTCTGCCGCTGTCCATCAGTCCCGTAGCCCCATCATAGAAGGCCACCAAATTGGTCACGCAGGATTTCCCCTTAGTGAAACCATGCTGGCCGTTACCTCACTGTTTTTCATGTGCCTCAGCATTCTTTCCAGGAGAATCTGCTCCAGGATTTTGCCGGGCACAGAAGTGAGACTGACTGGGCTGTAGTTTCCTGGGTCTTCTGCCTTCCCCTTCTTGAAAATGGGGGTTACGTTTCCCTTCTTCCAGTCATCTGGAACTTCACCTGACTGCCATGACCTCTCAAATATTACGGACAGTGGCCGAGCAACTTCATTTGCCAGCTCCTTCAGGACCCGTGGATGGATTTCATCAGGTCCCATGGACTTGTGCACGTTCAGGTTCTTAAGGTGCTCTCGAACCTCATCCTCTCCTACAGTGGGCCTAAGGTCTTCTTGTTTTATTCCCTTAAATTGCAGCATTTCCCAGTTTTTAATTTAAAATTCAGGCTTTAGATTTCCCAATATTCACTTTCAAAATAACATTAGAAGGTTATTCTAATAATGCTACACAGAAATGATGTTCTCTACCTTTCTATTTATTTATTTCTTTAAATAAATAGATGGAATTTCAAGTGGAAAAGAGACATTCTGTTGCTTTCAGGTAAGTTACTCATCTAGTTTGTAATGCTTTGCTGTCTACTACTGGCTTTCAGAGCAGTGAAGCAATGCAAATTACAGAGTCTTACACAGTGTTTTGAAAGAAGGTACAGAAATCTTTGTGCAAAATTATGGACCACACTGAGTATTTCTCCTCATTTCATATCAATAGAAGCCCAACTTCTTCCTTACTCTTTTTAGAGAGGTTTTTATACAGATGGTATTTTTTTTTTTACAAAATCTACTTGCAAGCCATTAACTGGAAGATAAAGTCAAACAAGCATACTAGCAAACACCTCTACTACACACACTATCTGAATATGAAGGGGCCTCTTCATACATCAGAGAACATTCATGAGCACAGGAAATGAGACATGCAAATCTTATTACCTTTCATCAAAGCTAAGATTGTGATCTCCAAACTGTTCCAGTAATGTTCTCTCAATTATCTTCTTTGGTGCCTGGTTTTGGATGAAGTACACAATTGCATGACGCAATCGGTAATCACATTCAGGTGGTGGATCTTCCTGGGCTAGTTTTAGCAAGCGTGTGTATTCCAATTTAATTGCCTAAATAATTTAAAGAATATACATTATTCATTTTGGCTTTTAACTCTTCAACATTGTAGACACTAACAGGATAGTTCAAATCCCATGGCCTTTTGCCTAAAAAATATTTTTTTAGCAATTCCATAAACCACACTTCTAACAAATCTGAACTACGTTAAAAAATTCCAAGCAAACAATCAAAAACCCTCAGCCAAATGGTAAAGCTGTTCCTGTCTCTCCCCAACTAAGCCTGCCAAAATCCCAGGTAGACCTTTACTTCAAAAGCAGACCCAATCCTGTGCTACATCTCCCTGAGCAAAGGTTTATCCAATTCCTAGAGAGGCTTCTGTAAGCTTTTACAGTCCAAAACCAGTATAAGATTTCATACACTTTACCAATCTCATAAGGTAAAAAAAATGTTGCATGGTTAAAATGCAAACATATGAATGAGACAAGTTCTCAGGAAAGTTTGAGGAACATGTATGATTTTTGAAACACTAAGTGAGAATTGAAAAGATCTTTTAAAAAATCTAATTGTAAGATTTCTAAAGAAAATAATACTTTAATACAAATAGTACTGGTCTTCTATAGGGCAGGACAGAGTCCTCACTGAATATTTTAGATCGATTTTTAGGTCATCAGAAGAGTTTACTTTTCCAGCTTTGCCAGCACATTAGATTTTACTGAACATGCTATACAGCATTAAACAAAAGTAACAAGAAAAATAATTAGAAATATGGTGACAAATGTTAAGATGTTCCATAATTTATCTCTCAAAACAGGGAGGAGATCAGATTGTTTGCAAACACTAAATGTCGACTTGAAACAAATAACTTAGCACAGTAGCTTCACATATTTGCAAAGTTTCAATGCAACATAAGCATAAACTAAAGCACCCAGAAAAATACCCTATTCAGTATTTCAAATTCCTTTATGTTGAAATACCTGGCAGTAGCAGGTAACTTCTTGACTTTTAACTATGAGAAATTTGGGCTCGCATCACTAGTACACATTTTGTTTCAGGGCTAAACACATGGGTAGGATACCATTCATACAGACTTAAACACAGAGCAGAGGGAGAACTTCAAAGAGAATGCTCTGCATCAATATTTTTAAATACTACTCATAGAGGACCAGTGATAAATATCAAAAGCCACAGACAGAGTTTCTATTATCTTATATCAGAAGATGTTCTACCATTAGAAAACCAACATGAACAACTACGCAAGTAACGCTGTTTATTGGGGTAGGCCAGAAACAAAAAAAATGATTGCTATTAGGCATTTAATTTTTCAAATAATTACTTAGAAGTAGGGGAAAAAAGCAACACATGCCCTCTGTTTTTATATACATATGTAAACAAAATATATTTTACTACAGACTCCTGTGTACAATTAAAAAAATAACACTATTTCTTTACACAGAATAAAGGAAAAAGGATGGTTGAAAAAAGTATCACGTGCTTTCATTTTCTCACTGAGAATGTTATATAAAATTTTAAGGCAAACATTCTGCAAGGAACTGTCTATAAAGTTTAAAGAAGGATGATTGGAAGAGGTCATTGATGAAGAAACTTCTTAATGGGTTTGTATTAGTCACGTCTCAAGCCTTTCACTCTAAAGGGGGAGTGAAACTTTAGCCGTAACAATGACCAGCATCAAATGGGTTTTATCTAAGTTCCACCAAAATAAAGACATCAAAGAAAAGAATCCACAATTTTCTGTAAACACTCACTTTATAAAAATCAAACACACGTAGAGACCCAGAGTATAACAGTATTAAAAAAATATTATAGAAGCTATTACTTAAATAATAAATAGGTTTATGGAGTAAGATGAGATTTCATCTGATACATTTCAAAATACAAATTATGTTACTAACTAGGACCGCTTCATCTGCATACATTCATACTAATGTATTCCTCAAGAATGAAGCATGTTCCACCCCTTTTAAAATACGGAAAACATGAATCAGCAAAAAATGAGTGAGGAAACTTTTTTACTCTTCAGCAATTTGGTGTCAGAACATTTTCCCATTCAAAGACAAAATTCTGTCCCCATGAAGCGAAAATGTTTTAGCATTCAAAATTAAAGACCAAAGAACACTTCAACTGAGCACTGTTTCGGTAACTCTGAAGCACTACAAAGAAATTTATTTTGAACTGCATTTCTGTTTTAAAATTATCAAAACACCCTTCCTATTCAAAAAATATTTAGCTGCAATCAAACTTTCTGGTAAAAAGTTTGATTTGACCGAATGAGGAGGGTTTTAGCAACTGAACAGAAACAACAAAAAAATGACATATTTTCATTAAGTGATACATTTGGGGGGAAAAATACAAAACAAAGCCAAAGCAGAAAACCCATCACTGAATCCAAAACAAAACCTATTTCACTAAATAGAAGATACAGCAGGTGTCTCTCCACTCTCTGAGGGCAGGCACAGTTAACAGACACAGCCCTGTAAACAAATGTTATGGTCCATTACAGGTACCAATTACAAGAACCCACACAAACAGACAAACCAACCAACCCATGAGAGTTCAATTTCTTTACCAAGGCATTTGAGAATCCTGTGGTGGTGGTGAATTGGGTTTTGTTTGTTTACTGTTTGTTTGGGGGCTTTTGTTTCTTTTGCTTTTTACAGCTTCTTCTAGTGCAACTACACCAATAAGATTAAGAAGAAAACAGATTGCTACTTAATGACAAGCAAGAAACTTCTTTCCCTGCTCCAAATCACATGAGAAGATTTTACATCATGTCAAAGTAATTCCCTTTCTAATACCCTGAAAATTCAAAAGATCATGAGCTAAAAATGCTCAGAAATTTGTATATGTAAGACAACTAACACATTTGAAAATCTGGTATCATTGTGAAGAGCCATAACCACAAAAAGCCTTATGTCTAATTCCCAGTAATAAAACACCGCATAAATAAACAGTATTGACATACATGCAGTTACACAAAGTAATTTAGATCGACTAAAAACCTTTTCAGGACTATAAAACAAGAACATCTCTGAATTAAGTAACAAATGACTAAATGCTGATGTCCCTGGGTGAAAAAAAAACCTAATGTCCCAAACAGTATAGCAAAGGCATGGGTTCTGTTACCAACAGGGGAAAATAATATATATTCTTATTGATTACATATCTAAATTTCATGCTACTATGATTAGAAAGCTAAAATGCAGAAAGGTATATAAGGTACTAATATCAATGCAGTGTACTGCTGAATTGACAGGGAAATAGCCTGGTTTTCAAAAGGGAGAAGCATCTAAATGGAGGACTGATATCAGAGTATGTATAAATGCTGGAACAGCCTTAATATGCATTAAAGGATCGAGGGAGAAGCTTATCTAACAACAAAAGTCAGAGGAGAAAAAGTTGAAAATGTTAGTTGTACCTTAAAGAACCCTGCTTCTGGCCCACACCTGTCATAAACATTCCTGGCTTTACCTATAGCCATGATAATACCTTGCATGTTCGGGGTCAGCATGACCTGCCACAAGGGATTTAAGGTAAAAGTTTTGAATGATTAATATTTTAATGACCAAATTCAATATGCTTTTAGTCTCATGCAAGATAAAATGCAACTTAATGCATGCATACATTGAAATGGCACATTTCAATACAGATCTGGTGTACACATTCTGCAAGTCAATCATTGGCATGTGTATATATTTTTACTGTAACGACATATGATTACAGGAAGCTTACAAAAACAAAACAAACAAACAAAAAAAACAACCCACAAAAAACCCCAAAAGAACTATGTCAAAACAATTTAAAAGTTACACAGTCAAAACTTCCCAGGAAAGGAACATGCATCCTTCAGCATTAGTATCCATCAGAAACTACATATTGAAGAGTGCTACCCGTGGCCAGTTTCAAGAAGAAAAATCAACCAATCACACTTTCTGTACGCTATTATATACATTATAGTAAAAACATAGTAAACTACACCGCCTGTATTTTATGCATATTTCAATATCTAAATCAGGGACCCCACTGCTGAAAATACAACTGGTCCCCAAAACATTTGCAGACAAATTCTCAAAACATTTAACAAACACAAAGCCAAACATAAAACACACATCTCACAGCTATCCATACCAGTTATATACAAACAATTTGATACATCTTGTTAACTCAAACAGGCCTTTCCCCTTTGTTATCTGTGAGTAAAGAAAAACTCCCTCTCTCCCTGCCCAAGGTACAGCTGGCACAGTAACTGGCACAGCAACAAAAGACAAAAAACCCTAAACCTTCTGGAAGGGTTTCCCACACAAGAACATTAAAAAACTAAGTGAATACACTAACAAACAGAACATGGAAATAGGGAAGAAAGTTAGCATCCTCTAGAAAGAGGAAAAGTATGGGAACAACAGTAGGGAAAACAACAAGCCAAACTCAGTGTGATGATGTTAATTAAGTAATTTTATTCCCCATCCCATACTCCTAGTTACAACTGATCACATTTACAGGGCAGAATGACCTGAAATACTGATTTGCCTAGGAAAGCAAATGCTCCCCATAGTCCACCCAAGAACACATGCTTAGACACCTGAGAATATGGGCTGCAACAATGCTATCCCCAGCCAAAACAAACATTGAGTAAACAGTGCCAAGGCCGGACAGTTTGATGGCCTGTGAAGGTAGGTTTCTCAGGATACCATGGGCAGATAACATCTGTTCCTCAAGTAGTACTAGGTACGCACACCATCCTGGGTTTGATTTGAGGAGGAGGGCAACAACTTTTGGTTTTTGTTTCTTAAGCTTTGGAAGAGTCGGCTCCACCAGCCGTTATCAGTTTCAGGTTATTTCCATGGATAATTTAATCCTTTAAGTTTGAAAAGCTTAACCTTGGCATTGGCAAATAAGGTATCCGACTTGAATTTTAGCTTTACTGGACTGACAAGAAAGCACAAACATTAAGATCACTTGCTATCCTGTCATTTTTTAAAGAATGTAGTAGTCCACAACCTAGGACCAGCATTTCAAATGATATCTGGCCTAACACAAACACTCAACTTCCACAGCTAAAAAGACAAATACACCTCCAGTGTAAATGGTACCATGCAAAGCGTGCCCAATTAGAGTAGCTAGTGATTTCCTTTCTCATTTCATTACAAACTAAGACATTGTTAAAGTAACAAGTCACTAAGCATTTAGTTTTGCAGAAATCTGTTAAGTGCCACGATGTGCAAACATGCCAAAAATTCTCATCAGGCAGGCAGCACAAAAAAGCACCGAGAAGGAGCGGTGCACACAACTGCAATCAAATGTACCTCATCGTCATAACCCCCCTCCTCTGACTCAATCACAAAAGTCCCTACATCGGGAATCGCCACCTCTACAACTCGCTGGTTAGGAGCTGGTTGAGCTGGGGCATTATCAGCTTTCTGCAGAAAAAAACCATTATCAGTATGTGAGTGGGAAAAAAAAAAATTAAATAATCAGAAAATAAGTGAAAATTATGGAAAGGCGCAAACTGATGCTGATCAAGTCAAATCATGTGCACTGCTGAAATTCTGAGGAAAAATTACATATCTCACTTGTATACTCTAATTACTTACAGTTTCTTAACTTTTAAGTACATTCTAAAATTAAGCCATTAATTATTAAAAAAAACCCCATTTCATTCATTGTCTATTCACCCATCTACAGGTTAGTATGCCAGTATTGCAACTTTAACATCCGCTACCAATTCCAGGCAGTTGTTAAAGGATGTGAACCCACCACTTCTTTTCATACATTTCACCAAAAAGATAATAAACATCCAAAGCATCTGATGAATTCATACTAAGGGATAGCAACAAGCCAAAGGCTAACATCCTTTAATACTTTGAGAGAAAAAAAGCCTCAGCAATCAAGGCATTTGAAAATATATTTAAAGGTGCATTACATCCAACTGGTTTATTTTTCTAGAAGGCTAATTACACAGAAAAACGGGAGAAGATTATGCTAGTCACCAAAATTCTTGCTATGTTGAAGTAAGTTTTAAATAATGGAGACAAATCACGGTTCCCATGGTCTATCATCATATAATAGCCAGTTTACAACATTTGCAGAACTTAAACCTTGAGTCTAATCTGAGCAGAGTGCCATGCTACTTGTTCTGCAACTATTACAATAGTCTCATTTTTAACAAAGATTCCAGAAACACAGAGTATCTATTTACACCCAGCACCATATAAATACAAAAGAAGACTGTGCAATCAGAGGGCAGAAAAAAAGGACAAAAGAGCAGAAAACAGACACAAATTATCATGTGGTGGCTAACCTACAGTCCTGTTTGTTGCATGGCCTGATGTTGGCTTTCCTTCTTTTAAAACAGACGAACAGAAAGTGAATGAAAGGAATATATACCTGCATGTCAGAATGCACATGGAAATAGAATAATTAAAGAACATGCTGATAAACTGAGAAGGAAGCACAATTCTGCCTAAGTGAAACTTGGGTATACAGAGATGTCGTGGTTTAAGTTCTAAGGCTGATCACTGTGCAAAGTGTCACTAGCCTAAACTAAAACACTTGATCTGTAGAACTAACTCTGTAAGAATCTTCCCCATCCCACCAGGACAGATGCCCACAGACCCTAGAATGAGGACAGCACCATGCAAGACATTTTATTATTGGTTTAGTATCTTCAGAACTACCCCTTCAGGCGGGGGTAACTCATTAAACACATTCCCCCTACTCCGTTCTGTGTTCTGAGAACTCAAAACCATCAAGATATGCAGTAGCCTAAAACATTAGTGGTAGAGCATCTTTTCCTCCAGGGTTGGAATAGCTACCCTCTTGCCTTTGATTTCAGTTTAGCAGAGAAAGCGCTCTTCTCTGCTTTCCTGACATCACAGGAGAGAGGAATGGAAAACACGTCCCATGTAAGAGTCAAGCTGTCACCTTATTTTCAGAGATTTTAAGTGGACTTTCCTGTTGGCCTCAAAGATACCTAGGGCTAGACTGCTTTTGCTTAATGAGGACCTGAACTTCGGAAGCATGCTTCAAATTTTGCACAGACCTAAACTGTACATATCTCCAGTGGTTACTAGGGGTGCCTAAAGAAGCTATACTATACATTTCATATGTTTTAGCCTTACAGATACAGTTCCGAGACAGATGCATATACTGTGTTAAAGGCACTTGCTTTTGTGGCAAATACATTGGTTATTTATATACATATAGGGAAGCAAAAAAAATATTTGCTGAAAGAAAAAACTGTTAAATATTAGTTTCACTAATAACTTACATAGTAGTCAATTTCCAATTCCTACTAGTATTTGTTGTATGAAAACAGAATCATCTAGCACTAATTCTTATAACCATGTTAATATATGCTTCTGATGAATCACAAGAAATAATTTTCAAGTTGTGAATTTGCATTAAACCTACAAATATTGTTGGGAAAAAAAAAAAAAAACCAACCAAACTTTTCCTCGAAAGCAACTTTAGCTTCCATAGGTCTTTCAAAGGAACTCAATTATAATCTTATATTTCTCAGATAAAAAAACTGAATGTCTGAAGAAGTATTTTTTTAAGTCTTTTACATGGACTGTCAATGTTTTCTCCTCAAAAACAAATGGAACCATCTAACGTTTTGAAAAGATGGTGGGCACAAACACATGATTGTCATTTGAACAATATGCTGTACTCTTGACAAATACTTAAATCACGTAAAGGACATCTACGTATTTTTCTTCTACTACACCCCTTACTATAGTACACTCCTTCTGAAAGGACTCTAGTGTTGGGCAGTCCCTGAAGAAACAGCAATTTTCAGTTCAAAGTTTCCACACACACCCGCTTTTAGCAGCTATTGTATCATTTCCACTTGGAAAATAAAAACAAAAGTAGCATTCCAAGCTTCAAATTATCCTCACCGTATCCATTATAGCTTCTGGACCTCTATCTTCTTGTTCAGCTAAAGCTTTATTGATTGCTTGTACAGAATCTTCTTTTAAGTGCTTTGAAATATCAGTTCTTGATGGCTGCTCTAAATATTCTGGTTCTCCTGCTTGAACTTCGTGAATAGAAATAAGATAAAAATTTTGTGTGTTAACATAAGCATAAGTTTTGAATTGATTAGTTGCATTTGGATCATCATCTCATAGATAAGGTAATCCACACAGAAAATGCAGGGTAGGTCACACCATTCACAAATACAACTTTATACCAGTCTTAGTCTCAGGTCATTTTAACACTTACATATAAAAATGGGCCCATGATTTTAAATTAAGAAAAATAGACCCGTCCTGTCTATAGACCCACGAAGGCTCTTGAGTGGTGGGTACTCATCAATCATATGGGGGAATACTGGGAATAAAGATGAGATCCTACTTGGACATTCCAATATATGGAATGACCTACAGCCACTTGAGTGCCAGATGTATTTTTACTTCACAAAATTACCAACACATTATATTCTTCTGTGTAAGGGAAATCTCAGTGTCTCCCTCACTTCAGGGAAGCAAAATTGATTAGCATAAATAGCATCTTTTATTCCTTATATGATGAAAGCAGATTTGGCAAACATGACATTCATTTAGTACTTTCCATTACTAACAAAAGAACTAAAACCAGTCTCAAAGTGTCTGTGAAGTAAAAACATATAGAAGATATGAAGTCATTCTCCATAGTTTGCAAAAAGAGAAATGTCATTAAACCACTGCACTTTTTACATTCAGTTTGTAGTCATAATTATGATAAATATATGCTTAGTCTTAGCGACTGAAGAACTACGAGAATATCTGGACAGCAGTCTCATTACACAAATCCATTGTGCCATCTTTCACATAATGTACATACTGCATTCTGCAATGGACCACAAGGTGGATGTAACCTAAAACCCAACAGCTTTTTCTGTGTCAAAGCAGGCATATGTTTTATAGTCAGACTGCCAGTGGTCTTTATTAGCTGGGTTTCTAACAGCACTGGCCTCAGTGTTGCTGTTCAGAGTATTTTCCACAGTTAACACCCTTCTTTTTACATAGTAATTTCTTAAGCAGGCCCTACTATTGCTGAATCTATTCAATACATCACACCAAGTAAATTATTCTTCTCTTCAGCTCTAAATTTTGTCCTAATTTAAAATGTGAAGGAAGGTCTTCTACTCAATCCCTCTGAATAGAGAAAAATACATCGCTTATCGACTAATAAATTTCAAAGATGACTTTTTCTATGGAAAAAGCAGAAGAGCCAAGACTTTTTTTTCTTTTTAAATAAAAAAATAAAATGCAAACAAACTCCCAGATTAACCTTCAAGTACAGTTACCTTGGCCAAGTAAATAGTTATCATTAAAGATGACAAAAATTAACTACTTCTTCCTCTCTTAAACTGCAAAACAGCATATACAAAAGCCAGTGATTTTTTTTGTTCTACTCCTTTTACAAACAGACAGAAGAAGCTAACCTGGAGCAGGCGAGGGTGCTGGTGCCCTGGGTATCTGAGATAACAACTTCTCCTGCTGTGCCTTCTGAGCGAGTTCTGCATCCCATTCTTCAAGTTCTTTTTCAAAACGTTTGTTGTCTTCCTTGACATAATCCCTTAGATCAGAAGGTAGCGTGTCCATTCCAACAAGGATCTGTCCTGTTTCTTTGTTAAACTCCTCTGCGGTAACATGAAATACAAATTTCAGAAAAAGAAAGAATAGTGGAAGAGGAAATATGTTTAACAGATTTCCTCAACTGAATTACTAAAAACATACAGTACAGCATCAAAATGCCAAAGCTGTATTACTTTTGACTGATTTTACTATTGGTCAGACACCTTCTGCTACTGAGATGTGTGGCTACTGCTCTGCTCTTGTGATCTTTGGATTATATGTTCTTGGGCACCACAAGATCACTACCATTTTGAAAAATGAACCTCTTGGGCCATGAGCACCCTGTAACCGTGAACATTCAGTAAAAAAAAAAAACATCACAAAACCACACTATAGCTTGATTACTGCCACACAGAGCTGGACACAACTCAACTTGCCAGCAGAAAAGGGGAAGGAGAGTGGGCCTCCAGGGATTTGGAAGGTTAAATGCCAAGAACACCAGCTACTTTGAGTAATCTTCCTTTTTGCTTTGAGAACGGTCTCTGCAAGAGTATCTCAGATACTAGGGGATCAATTGTCTGTAACTGACCCACAGCAAACAGGCCTCAAACTTAATTAAGAGTGGTACAGCCCCCCTACAGGGCCCATAAACCCTATGGCCACAAGTCCACTACTAATCTGTTAATCTAGATTAATATCGGTTCTCATTTAAAAACTGAACAAATGTGTACACTCGAGCTTTCTGCCCTATGAAAAAATAGGAACTTGAGCATTTTCCACCACTTGTTATTGAATCTCTGGCCATTTTCACAGCCAGAGCTCTCTATGTGCCATTATCAGGCCCCACAAAGTTCATGCTAAGGGACCTTTACCCTCTCTCCAAAAACTTCCATACAAGTCTTATAGTTACATACTACTACGTAATGTGAAAAAAATTTCCCAATCCACGTATGACTTTGGTTTAACATGTGGTTAGTAAGGCCACAGTATTCACATTTCAACATGAAATTGCTAAATGTTTACAAATTAGCAAACATAGTTTATTTTGCTCTCTTAATAATGCTGAAATACTGGCATTATCTTTATTAATCTAGAAGCTGAAGAGCAATTGTTCCACACACAAAAAACAATGTGACCAACAGTTATGAACAGAAATAGAATCTTAGTAATTATTAAGAAAAACCATTTCAAAAATCTGGAAATCCATGCAAAAGAATCTCAATTTATCAATATATTCAGCATATTAGGCTATTCTATATCATGCAGAAAGCATATCCACAACATTACCTTGTATCAAGTATTGCTCCTTATCATTGATATACATTAAGCAATATGCACTCGCATTCCTGTAACCACCGAAAGAGTCCCGTTCCAACTCTTCCCAAGTTGACTTTGTCACAGAAATATCGTTGTATTTCATCCATCTGTTTTGGTGATGGTCATAAATATATGCCCAGTAGTGTCCTGCATTAGCTTGACCTTCATGAACTAGCACAGCATGCAACCTGTAAGGAACCTTAAAAAAAACAAACAAAACAAAACAAAACAACCCACAAAATGTCAAACTCTTCTTGCAAGCATTTAGTTCCCACTACCTGCCAGTGGTAACAGCTACATTAAATAAAAGAAACAAAACCAAAATTAAACAGGATCAAAACACACCACAAAGGAAAACTAAAAAGGTAAAACTACCAACCCACTGAGCAAAAGGACTTTGAACCATTTTACTTACCGCTACTTATCACAAAAGATCTTAAAAACACTAGTGAGCATAAATGTCTACTCTGCTGCCTTCATTGCCAGGCATCCTCTTTTCTTAATTCCTTAATATTCCTACTTCCCTTGTATCTACAGAAACCCTCAAATATGTCAGCCTTGAGTGTCCATGATTTGCTCCAGTTCTGACTTTGTAAACTTGCCCTGAAGTCTGGAAAGGCACATGCAAATTCAAGGTAAACAACTCTGTGCTTTCTATGTGCCACTAAGAGTTTATTTAAAGAAATACCTGGGAGTTGAATACTGCTATTACCCAAATTTAATTTTTTTTACAGTAGAATAGGAATAAAACTGTTTTCCATTATTTTAACCATATTAGTGGAAGCATTGCTAAGAGAAGCATGGAACACATGAAGAGGACCTCACTACTCCTGTGGCAAAGAAGGAAGATACCATTTCCCAGGATCAACCTAAAAAGTATTCCATGTATTCATTGACAAGTAAGAAGAATGGGAAACTTTGTTTCTATGTAAGTAGTTGGAAATCTGAAGGAAAGAGAAGCAGAATGTAGGAGTGCTTCCTTACTTTTAAGTGTTTGAAAAACACATGCTGCTCATTTTAACCTGCTGAAACAGCACACACAACATAAAAGAGAAAACCAATCTCCCCTGCTATGCACAGTACGCCTGAATGACAACAGCTCAGCTAGGATGAAAACCCTGAAACCATGTTCTACTGGTGTCACAGTCTGGATGGTAGATAAACAGTCTATTTAACACAACGTGCACTAAATATTTGTTGCAAAAAATATTTCAGCACCACAATAATCAGTAACTGTAAATAAATATGTAACTATGACTTCATAAACTCCCTGAAGTTATTTTTAGCCTGATCATTCTCTTCCAGGCTATATGCAAGTGCTGGAGATTTTGCAACCTTCCTTGAACTATAAAGCTGACTGACTGCACAGCAGCTGGAATCAAACAGCCTGTCATCCCAGAGACCAAAGCACACAGTAAATCTCCCAAGCACAAGAAGCACACACAGAAGAAATCTTAGCAAGTCCTTAAATCTGAATGCTCTGAGGTTTTTAACATCTGTTATCAAAACAGTGTGAAAGCCTTCTTAAAATGATTGCAAGCCCATGCATATGCACATAAATACATAAAGATCCTGATTAAAAAATAAATAAATAAAAGGTAAGCGAAGTCTCTTCATACTTTGGCAATAAAATTTCCTCACTCCAAAATAGGGCATTAAAATCCCAGCTGAATTTGAATCGTTTTACTTAAAACCATGCTACTAACAGGGTCAGCTGGAGGCCCCCTACCCTTTCCTCCAGTTCTGGAGAACCAGCTGTCAGCCATTCATGCTGAGCTTCCAGGAAGGTTCTCCAGACAGGTCTGTGACTGGGAGACAGGTGAGTCCAGTGCCAACGGGCATCTCTTGTGATAAGCCATAATATCAACAGTAATTAACAGTACAGGGCAACACATCCAGTAAATAGCTGGCATTAAACTTCTTAGCTCACACTAATCTCACTCATGAAACAGAAATGGAGCTTCACCAACCTCTTCACATGTAGCTACAGAACAGATATATCAAAGCTGATATATCAAAGATGAATTCCCACAGGAAAAACAGGTGTGTCTCTTTAACGAGGGAAATAAGTAAGCAGCTGATGAAACTTATTCAGGAGGACAAGACAATATAAAAATTTTAAGAATATATTTCATATGACAATTTGACAAGGGTTTTATGAGCAACTGTAATTTCCTTAGAATAAAAAAGGACACAAGGAGAAGAGAAACTTCTTAAATAATTCATAAAAACACTAGGAAATATCCCACAAATGTAATATGCTTTACTTGGAAAGTCTAGTTTTGTGTGCCCAGACCTTATAGACTCATGAGAGAAAAGCTTTCAATGCTGCAATCTTACCAATCAGAGGATAACATCAATGTGAAACTGCTCCCATAGAATGGGGCAATACTGAGCTATCCAACTGTCCAGCTGCAGAGTTAGGTAGCAAAAGCAGACAGCTGTATGCACCTGCTTCCTTCCTATTGTGCCAAAACACCCACAGGGACAAAATGGGCTGAGCTGTGGAAGGGCAGCTTTCTTTGCCAGCCTAAGATTTCTGATGGGTTCAGTACCTACCTGTTCTGTAACTATCACTTAACACACCTCGCTACTTTCAGACACAGAACAGGAACACCCTCTACAAATCTATATACCGTTTTCATCCTCCTGTTTCTAGAATCTGTTTCAAAACAAAACCAAAAACATCTACTTTATGTTATAAAAGTCTGCGCTAGGACAAGGTGTTTTCCTAAGTAATCCCCTTTTTCCATTGTAGTGATTGCTGACATATCTTCACCATGCAGTATTTCCTCCTGTAACACCTAAGCCAACACAGGTAAGCTGTTTGGATGTGAAATTAACAAATTACTTCATTTTGCTGTAAGATGATATGTAGCCTGTAGCCCTCCTGTTACAACACGAATATTCCACTAAAGAAAATGCCTGCCAGTAGCAAGCTTAAAGAAAGCCATCTAGGCAAGTCTGCCTGAAATCCTTAACATCAGAGTTCAGCTGCCAGGAAGTATTACAAGCCATGTACAAAATGAAGACATACCTCAAGGAAAACTGTAAGCTGAACAGATCTTACATGGAAGGAAAATAGTTCTTTTTCCTAACAAAGTAGCAGAGGAAGTAAACTTTAAGCTTAAAATCTGTCAAAGTGAGTGAACACAAACATGTGAACGTAAGAAATACCAGAGGAGCCGCGACTCCATAGTAAAGCATTCTAAAAACGCTGTTCAGATTACACAGCATGAGAATCTCCCTAAAAGGCATCTTAGACTAATAGTCAAGGTTGTGACTGATACTAAATCTAGACAGAGGGTTTTGTTGGGTTTTTTTAATAGAAAAGAAAAAAAAAAAAAAAACAAAAAACAAACCAAAACAACAAGCCCACTGGCATTATTAACTACAAATTTAAATCAGGAGCCTTGAATTCCTAAGTATTAGTATGGAAGTTGCAATACATAAATGCAATAAGCATTGAAGTATAAAAATAATTGTTTCCTATGTCTAATGCTTTGCCACCTTAAAGCCATAAGATTACCTAGCAATATGGTCAAATCAGGGTGAGAAAATTTTATTGTGTTATACAAAACCTGAAGTTCCGCATTCAAGTCAAGAAAGTGGATCAGAAATAGCACATATTTGGGCTTTTCATCACAAAGCTGCTTAAACTCAAGTATGCCACCTGTAAAATACTGTAATACTCTCTTTTATCTGACTCTGCTTAATTAACAGGTTTGCAAAACCCATTATGACTTTCCAATGAAATTTCTCAAGCTACTATATATAATTGTGGTATACCTGCTCTATTTTCAAGCACCAAAGAACTTTAATAAAAGTGACAAGAAGGATTTGTTTCATTTCATGCAGAAATTGTACTTACTTGGACCATTGTTTTGTCAGAGTACATCAATTCAATTGTCCGATGTATTCTAGATATACTTTCTTGTAAATCTAAAAGAGAAATAAAAAAAGAAGCTCTCTTCCATGAGGCTGCATAACTGCACATGGCTTCATCTTTATTTTATCTCATTAAAAGCCAAACAAGGGTACATTTCACACTTAGTGTATCTGTTTTTCTATCTACATGCCAAACACTAAACCTTCTCAGATGATAAAGCAGCGACAGTGATTCATAATATTCTGCTGCTAGCTTCCTAGAGCTCAACCAAGTCCACCCCTGCTGGAACAACAACTCCCCTTGTTTTCCTCAGAGCAACAGAACAGACTGTAAGCTCTACCCACTCCAAAAAGCCTTTGCTTAGAAATTTGCTGAATTTTCCCATATGGAAGGGGTCACTCTATCTGAAACTCCCCTGCAGCACCAAGTCAAAGCATGGGCCCAGCCAGTACCACACTGACAGCTCACACAACTGCAGACTTTTTTTGGCATGGATCACACTTTATTTCATTCTACTCCCCCCAACACAATGCACACAGAAACCTGCATTGAAACACTGTGTACACCCAACTCAACACCCAGTATGCTTCTTCAGTTCATATACCTCCATTCTACTACAACCTCTAACTTCCCTTCCTATTTGTTAAAGGTAGGTTTAGAAATACAAAACAAGCAACTCAACACACACATGGGTGTTAAGGTGATTTCCCACACTTCCACAACTCCTTTCCAATGGCAATAATATTCACCAGCTTGTGGCACTACCTCTAGTGTCATTCTCTACTTCAGTCCTCCAGCGATGTAAACAGCCTTCTAGGACAGACAGCTCTTCCTCAGTGATGTGCCTCGGTGCCGGATGCATTGGCAGATCAGGAGGAATTCGTGATTGTGTGAATGGTTTATGTATTACTGATCTTTGTACAGGAGATGTGCTTGGAACATCTGATGATGAAGGTCCCTGCTGCTCTATAGTGCTGCGTTCATTCAAAACATGAAATTAAAAAAAATGAATCATCATGTATACAAACTAAAAGCCACACCATAAAAATAAGCTTTTCGTCTGAAAACAGAAATTTTAAAGGTAATAATTTCCTACAATGCAATCCAGGAAAGGTCCTACAACATCAATATGGCATTAATATGTAAATCCTGGAAACCTGGTGGCGTACTACACATGAGCACAACAATAACTCTGGTTGCCATTCCCAAAGATAAAGGAACCTGAGTTGGATAGGCCAAGCTACAGTCTGCTTTACTTGAAATGCTATTCAACACTTTCATATAACATCATGCAAGTAATCACTGTGGTTTGAAACATTTATTGACAAACTGGAGAGAGGAAAATCACAGCAGCTTGTCTTATGGCCCACTGACCATAAAATCCTAAAAATCCATAAAATCACTTACCTACCATTTATGTTAACTGAATAGCAACAGTGAAGGGACCTCTGATACATACGGCACACTGGAAATATAGCACCAAGCCATCTAAATTTGTTCCAAACACATCTCCTAACTCAAATGGCAAAGCAGCCATGAAAACTAGGAAAATTCTACAAGAGCAGCGGCATATTAAAACGACAACCTGTTTGTCCTGGGTTCAGCTCTCTTCCCATCAGTGAGACCACCCATATGTAATCATACACTAACAAAAACCTGAAGACCTTTCTAGCGTTTTACTTCGTGTACTGACATTTTACATTGTGTACAACATCATGATACAGCCTGAGGAACCTGGATTCTTCAGTAGTTTAAAAAGTTCTGAGAACATCAAGAGCTGACAGTGTCACTCCACATGCTGCTGTGTTTCCACAGATTTACAAAAGTATTAATACTTACATTTTTACAGAACAAACTTCCTTTATAGGAATTTCAACAAAGCATATCACTCCTGATCCTGTATTTCATGCAAACAATGGTAGCTTTTAACAGTTTGTCTTCTCTTATCATCATGATTTCTACATCATACTAGTAAGACATGTGAAATCTTTCAAAGGCTTTTCAGATTCATTTACTTGTCTGAACTACAAAGTTAACCATCTTGACTGGACCAGAACCTGAAACTCTACTTTCCAAATACCATATAAAAAGCTGTGTTATAAACTGCCAGTGACCACCTAACCAAATCTGACCCTATGTTATACTCTACTAACTGCTAGTCATACTTACTAGCTTCAATTAATGAGAAAAATTACATTATTGGAGCTTTATCTGCCTGGTATGTTGGCCACTCTGTGTTGAAAAAGTCAGACTGTTAGATTCCTGGCAAACTGTGAGAAGTGTGAGTTGCAAAGCAGAAATGGAGCTTAACTCTTGGGCTAAATCAACAGATAAGTAGTACACGAGAAACCTTGAAGCTATGCAGCACATACATACTGACCAAATTAAGATTATTAAACAACGAATTTGGGAAGCAGTGACTTCACCAGATATTGTGTCTATCTGGAATTTTAGGTGGAATTGTGCTTTATTCGAAAATAGTAGTTCTCCACCTAAAGGCATTTTCCTAAGCACATGAAACAAACTCAGATTATTAACATTTTGTTTTACTTAAGTTATCTGTTGGGCTGAAAAATACTTCTAGGAAGAAAGCAGGAACTTTACCCCTTAGGATATGCCTAGTTGTATTAAACTGGTGACCATGGCAGATAAGCTTCCTCCCCTGTCTCTCAGTGGCTGGGTTAGCACCCGAGGAGACGACTGGCCTCTTGCCTTGGGAGAGCAGGAAGAGGCAGCTCTTACCTGGGTGGCGTCTGGGCCGGCAGCATGCCGCTGGCAGGGGCACTAGCACCCAGGTCATCAACCGGAGACGTGCACACCGGCTTGCTGGAGGCAAACTCCAAGGCGTACTGCAGGACATCTACCAAGGGGAATCGTTTAGGACCAGAACCATAGCTTAAATATCTGTTAACCATAAAATGTATTACTATGACTATAGCTGAAACAAAATAAAAAAAAAAAAAAAAAGAAAAAAAAGGATTTTTATTTTTTCTGGTTGACTGCAATTAAATAAAGCAACCTTTTCCTAACATGTTTCATGCATTAGAATTACTGCCCTTATACAGAGTTTCCAAGGAAAACAGTAGTAGAAAAGAGATGCAGAAGGGTAATCTAGAGCAAAAACGACATACAAAGTGTATAGTTGCAAGGACTGATTCTATGTAGCCCATAATATTATTTGCATTTACAGTTATCTATAGTACCGTTCTAATCTCTGTTGTAAAACTGTGAGGTACTCTTTGAGTCTCTTGATTTCATCCCGTTTAATTCTTGTTATTTCTCTGTTTTTGTGCATGTATCTGTAAAACATGAAATTTAGAAAGAGGTGTCAGCCCACAGTATCCAAGCACTGAAACTGAGGTCTGTACCCATCAGCCATACCACTTAGCGCTAATAAGAACTCACACTCTCTAGAACCTACAATATACTAAGCAGTAAAACAGAACTGAGAAGGAAATGGTAAAACCTTCCCTCCCACACTTTCAGAAGATGCTTTATTCCCCCAGTGTCAAAAGCTCTGTTCATACTATGTATGACAAACATGTATTGGAAAGCTTCTAAACTAAGTGGTTTAAGAGGCAACCACATAGCAATACTCCTGTTTCATTAATCAGGCTCACAAATAAACCCTCAGCATCTAAGTGAAGGCCATCTTAGTATCTCACCTCTACACATAAAGAGCATGCACTGATGCTAAGAATCCTCTTCAAACCATGCAGTCTATGCAGAATACCATGAAATAGCTGACTTCTCACCCTCCTTCCCCATTGGACCCATAAACAGTGTGATTATTCAGAGTATTTTTCCTGAGTACACCACTACCTAGCAATAAATAAAAGACTGAAGTGCAAGAAGGTTCTGGCACAATGTAGCAGTACGTCTTAAATTGTTATCTACTTGTATTTTCTGAAATAGATGAAACCCATGAAAATTTTAACTTGTTTAGCTGGAGAAGAAATTTACCATGATTTAAGCAAGGATAAAATGCACCAGCAACTTTACCAAACTCATGAGATGTAATTTATATTCATAGTAGGATGTGGTTGATAATATTATACTGTACCTGTCCAGATACAAAATTGGAGGAAATTCTAGTTTGTTATGTATCTTCTCTGGTCTCCCCAAAGCCTGATTAAACTCAAATCTTGATAGCTCAAAAGTTAAGACAGGAGGAAGCTCAGTGAACCAGTGCTGAATAAAAGAAAAAACAGAAAACCCCACAATGAATGCCTTCCAGTACCAGAACATTAGTAATAATGGTACAATACCTGCAGACTGAGAGAGGTATAAGAGAAACCGGTTTTAGAGGGAGGATCAGCATAAGCTTTACAAAGTTCCTATCCTTCCCCTTCACTGTAAACAGAGACCATATGTCACCCATGCTGCATCAGAGCTTTCCCACTCATCTATCAGTATCTGTGTTAAAGCAGAACACGCACAAAAGCTTCTTCCTTTCACATTTATCTTGCTTGTACTAGAAGCGGCCCACACTTGAACCCACCTGCCTTGCCAACTGTCCTGTCCTCTTTTAACTCGCCCATGCCACTGAAAGGGTTGTTTACACTGTATCAAGTGCTCTTCCCGCTAGTTCCCTGAGGCTCAAGTTTCTGACCCTTCCATTCACCCGGTATCACTCAGAGTTGCCAGTGACCTCCTCTGAAGCAGGACCAGTGAGTACTCTGGGCTGTGTGAGACCAGCTCTCTTGGCAGTGTGAAACTCACACTTTTTCTTGAAATCTCCTCTGTACTAACAACCTCTCCTGAAGGCTCATGTCATTAACCACTGCTAATCCATCCACGGACCAACCCATGTTATCACCACCTTATCCTAGTCTGCTTTGAGTATTCAGTACGGGTCTGACCTTGTTCCTCATTTCTTTCTTTACATACTTGGTTTCCCAAGTACAAGACGAATTCAGTCTTAGTAACAACCGAAACATCAGTGTGTTATCAGCATTAGTCTCAGACTACGGCCAAACACAGCACTGTACCAGCTACTAGAAAGAACATTAACTCTATCCCCGCTGAAACCAGGACACTAAACATCCACTTAAGCTTCCCTGATTGCCACAGACACCATTGCCACATACTTCTGACACTGATGTCCATAGCCTACAAGTGGCATTTGACTCAGGGCTTGCTTCAAGTTCTCCTATCCAGCCAAATGTCTTGAATAGTCTTTTCATACAAGACCTCCAAGACAGCCTTTTTCTTCTGTGCTCGTGGCTAAATTTCAGGTCCAGGTTCTCATCACTCCACATCTCAGCGCAATGCTTCCTCTCTTCTCTCCTTGCCTGGCCTTAGTGCAGGTAGCCTTGTCACGCTAATAGATTTCCAGGATTTTGCTGAATTTTCCTAGTTCATTGTCTTCAGCATCACTCCTTTCATCTGCTTACATAAAAAATGAGCTGCCTTCTCTTTTGTTGCCTATGTCAGCCTCCACTAATCACCTTTTCAGTTTTAAAGGAGATCATAACATTTCTCTTGCAGCAACTTCATGCAGCAATCGATTTCAATGCTAAAGTCAGCAAAGCCACGCCACAACCCTTCCCCCTTAAACTCTTTTTATTGCAAGGCCCCCAAATTCCTTGATGATGACTCAGCTGCTGATGCCCTGAAGTTTACCAACCATGATGCTGACAAACATTCTCTCATTTTCCCTATCTTCTAACTCCAAGTATGTGCAATCAATGTCCATCTTCTCTTGAATTTAGATTTAAGTTCCTTGGGACAGCGAATGTCTCTTTCTTTGCTTGTACATTAGCTTGCTTGCTGACACCAAACTCTACGGCTGAGGCTTTTAGGCATTATGATAATAACATTAATAATAATAATAGCAGCAACAATAATGATAATAAACAAGCTAAATACCCCATTCAAGGCAGTGGTGAAAGCAACAAAGAAAAGTAGAATGTTACTTTCAGGATCTTTCCATACATGCGACTACCATGCTAATATTATTTTCTTTAAGCTTTGATATCTACCATCTTGGATGAATGTCACTTGAAGTCTCTGTTCAGCAGAGTCAGACTCTGATAAAACTAGAAGAAATACAGCTTCCTTCATTACTTCCAAACTTTCCAATGCCCTGTAACCCCTTTGAGGCATTATGTTTAAACATAACTACTAACAGCAGCCACCACTATAAATAAATTACTTCAGTTCAGGGAAATGTAATCGATTTACTTGGCTCTGGTAATAATGCAGTAATGTTCTTCTAGATTTGGACTTAACACATTACCTTTCCTGTTTTGCCACTGTTGTCAATCTGTCATACGACTATTTCACTTCCATTTCCACATGCTAAGAAGCCAAGCTGATTAAAACCCTGACAGTTTCAAAACCCACAAATCTTAACACTCTAGACCCCAAAATTACAAGTGAAAAAAAAAAACAAAAACCCACCTCAAAATCAGAACAAAACAAAACAAAAAACAAGTCTGACATTTCCAGTCAAGCATTTATAACTGAACTGACATTTTATGCATGAATGCACACAGGTTTTAACTGCAAGACAATCTTCAGTCCATAAGATAAACAATCGTACTCTTGTAGTAGGTACATAAAAGATTTCAACTTGCATAAAGGAACTGAGCTTTGTGTTGTACTAAGATATTTATGAGATTATTTTTTTTTCAGTTATATTTCAGGAACTATGCTCAGTGTAATAAGACATTTCTACAAGTGCTGGAATGAAAAAATAAAAATAAAGAATGGAAACATCATGCAAAAGAAGAACACATCAAGTACGATGTGTAAATACATCTGAAAATGTTTCTTAACATCCACTTTGGTTGATCAATATTTGATCAGCAATAGCTGACCAGAAAACCGAACTGCAAAAAGGACACTATAAAACTTCCGTTGATAACACAAAATTGGAAATAGAAATTTAGACTGGAGGATGATTTCCATGTGCACACTAGGCTTAGTAATGACACCCTTTGTGTATGTTGGTATGATTTAAAGGAAGAAAAATTTCATCACTGCAAAAGACTGACACGAAGGAAAAACTATACCTGAACTTTTTACTTACGTATAAGAAACCTCCGAAGATACCAGATTTTTATAATAACTTTGATGAAACATGAACAACTGCCTAAAGAAAACGTGGCTTAACCTCCACAGGCAATGGGGATTTCTGTATTTCCACATCAATAACGTACAGGTTGTCAGAGAGAGCTCTGCCAGAGAAAAATGCTGGGCATATACACACATGCCAGCAATAAGAGGGGACATTTCAGAGCATACCCTGCCCTCTTGGTTCTACAATCACCATTGGTCCAACTACCTGTTTTCCCTAACCAGTGGCTTCTGCACAAGAAATCTTGACATCTCACCCCAACACCATATACTGCATATCCCACTTCTTAATGGGGCTCCATCTGAATCCATCCACTCATGTTTTCAGCATGCTCCAACACGTGGCAGCCTCCTGCTCTAGCAAGAGCTCTCCGAGGAGAAAGAGCAGCGCACAGAGCAAGTATTACCCGTGCACTGCTGCGAGGAGGGTAGGGGGCAAAGGGAAGAATGCTGGGAAACCTCAGTAAAAGGGGAAAAGGGGAAGAAGGCTAGGGTGCTGAGGAGTTAACAAGACAGGCACAGAGGAATAACAACAATGCTCTGAAGCAACGGTCAAATGCACAGCTCATGGTTGCTCTTTACAGCATGGCACAGGGCAGCAAGTCAAGCAGCAGTCAGCTACCCCAGGACATTACACCCATGACCTCCCTGGCGATCAAATACCAGCAACAGGTGGGAACCAACCTCTGCCAAATTACCACTGTAAATACTTGATTGTGACAGCTTTTAATAAGCATGAACTTTGTATCTTACGAAAAATTCAAAAATACGATACTCTGGATACTCAGAGAGATACAAACTCCTCAGATTAACAACCCAGAATCTGCACAGCAGCAGGTCACATAAGCAGCCATGAATCCCAGTGAAAAACAAAGAGCACAACAACACCCCCTTAGAGAAGCCCACAGGAGAACTTAACTCACCTCCTGACCAGACTTTGCAGAGTTTTCTGAATGGAGGGATTCAATTTCCCCTTCAATCATTGCAGCTTCTAGGCACTCATGAAGATCTTTAAAGCCATTAACCTGGAGTGGATACTGGCCAAACATTTCTGTGTTTTCAAATTTTTTACCTTCGCATAAGAAATTAAACAGTTCAGGTTTTAGGAACAAACCTTTGCCTTTAAAAAAAAACTCAACAATCCTAGGTCATCTTACCTAGTCTACTGAATAATACCCACATTTTCTTATTGAACAATTCAATTATATGTATGAAAACAAGTTACTATAGAAAGTCACTTGACTCTAATGTAGAAAATTACTGCATTTTCCTCTTCAGCCCATTCTTTTTTATATTGTTTTCGCATCTCTTGGTAATAAGCAAAAATCAAGATGACTTGGCACCACAAATGTATCGGAAACTTTACACATATAAATCAAAGTCCTCCTCCTGCAAATAGCAGCTCAGTAATACAACCCTACATTGTATCAGCAATGCCGGTGGAATTGCTGGTATGAAACAGCCCTTTGTGTAAGTACATTTTGCAAAAATAAAGCACAAAAGAGAACACTCATGATTTCTGTCCTGAAAACAAGATCACGATTTGGTAACAGTGTATAAAGATGCAAGTTCAAACATGAGGAGAAACGTGGGTCACAAGCTTTCAATCTACAACTTAAATTTATTTCATCCTAAAGTCAGCAACAAGTCTTCTTACATCAGCTAGTTTCTTTTCATTGGTTTGAATTTTACGTATCTCCTCAGTTAAGATCAGAACGTAAGGGATGAAAACAGCT